CACTCAGAGTGTGGGGCCGACGCACTCCGCCCCTGTCATCTCCAGCCCAGCGCGCCCAGCTCTGGCCACGCGCCCGGCCCCGTCTGCCTGTGTGGCTCTCCCAGTCTGCCGCACCCCTGACCCTGGCGTGTGTTAGTCACTCACTTGTGTCTGACTCTTTCTGACCCCATGGACTGTAGCCTGCCAGGCTCCTCTGTCCATGGGATTCTCCGGGCAAAAATACTGGAGTGTGTTGCCATTTCCTCCTCAGCCCATGTCCTTAACTCTCCTGCCTCTTTTAGTTCCAGGAGTGCAGCTCCCGAGTGACACCCTGGGGCTGGCCACTGGCTCCCCCACCCCTGGACCCCCATGAACCCGAACGGCCTTTCTTTGAGGGTCCCTTCCTCCAAATGCTGTTTGACCGCATGTCCCGGATTTTAGAACAGGTAGACAGCAGGGCTGGGCCCTAGCCATGGGGTGAGGTCTCTGGAGTCCTTCGGTAGAGCAGGGCCCAGCCCTGGGGGTCCGGTCATTTTCCCTTCCCTCCACGACCCCCCTCAATCCCCACCTCTCTCCAGCCAGGAAGCCCCGTTTCGCCTCTGCTTCACACGCCCTAACACGTCCTGGCCCTCAGCCCCAGGGAACCCATGACACACACATCACGTGCATCTCCAACCCCCGCACACGTTCACACTGGCCAGGCACAGTGCTGGGGTGGAGGGGGCAGGGGGAGAAAGGCTCAGCACCCCTGCCAACCCTCGCTCGTCCACTGCGCCCCCTGCAGCCATACAGCCTGAATCTGCAGGTGACCTCAGTGCTGTCCCGGCTCGCGCTTTTCCCCCACCCCCTCATCCACGAGTACCTCCTGGATCCCTACACCAGCCTGGCCCCTGGCTGCCGCAGCCTCTTCTCTGTGCTCGTCAGGGTAAGGGTGCCCGGCCAGGCCAGAGGAAGCATGTCAGTGCTGGGGGCAGGAGGGGAGGGCAGTGGGACAGGGGCAGGCTGGGGGCTGCCGGTGTGGGCACCCTTGCCAGTGCCAAGGGAGAACACAGGTACCGTCCACCCTCCCATGGTTTGACCAGGCCAGGGACCCCACGGCAGGGTCTCTGGTCTCCTCATCACTCCCCTCTTGTTCCCGCTCCAGGTGATCGGGGACTTGATGCAGAGAATTCAGAGGGTGCCCCAGTTCCCAGGCAAACTGCTCCTGGTGCGCAGGCAGCTGATGGGCCAAGTCCCCGGGGAGCAGTAAGTACCCAAGGGAAGCGGGTGCCCAAGGAAAAGCCCTGGGGTGGCATGGCGCGGGCTTCCGGGTGGGGGGGCACCAGGGCGGGGGCAGAGGGGGGCCCGTTGCTGAGACCTGTGGTCCCTCACAGATGCTCAGAGGTGGCCATCCCTGGGTAGTGCCTCACAGACACGGGGATGTCCCGCTGGGCACACTCCTCACGCTTCCCACCTCTGACCCCCGTGCTGTCTCCCTCAGGCTGGACCACCAGACCTTCCTCCAGGGCGTGGTCGTCCTGGAGGAGTTCTGCAAGGAGCTGGCTGCCAACCCGTTTCGCCTCTGCTTCACACGCCCTAACACGTCCTGGCCCTCAGCCCCAGGGAACCCATGACACACACATCACGTGCATCTTCAACCCCCGCACACGTTCACACTGGCCAGGCACAGTGCTGGGGTGGAGGGGGCAGGGGGAGAAACGCTCAGCACCCCTGCCAACCCTCACTCGTCCACTGCGCCCCCTGCAGCCATACAGCCTGAATCTGCAGGTGACCTCAGTGCTGTCCCGGCTCGCGCTTTTCCCCCACCCCCTCATCCACGAGTACCTCCTGGATCCCTACACCAGCCTGGCCCCTGGCTGCCGCAGCCTCTTCTCTGTGCTCGTCAGGGTAAGGGTGCCCGGCCAGGCCAGAGGAAGCATGTCAGTGCTGGGGGCAGGAGGGGAGGGCAGTGGGACAGGGGCAGGCTGGGGGCTGCCGGTGTGGGCACCCTTGCCAGTGCCAAGGGAGAACACAGGTACCGTCCACCCTCCCATGGTTTGACCAGGCCAGGGACCCCACGGCAGGGTCTCTGGTCTCCTCATCACTCCCCTCTTGTTCCCGCTCCAGGTGATCGGGGACTTGATGCAGAGAATTCAGAGGGTGCCCCAGTTCCCAGGCAAACTGCTCCTGGTGCGCAGGCAGCTGATGGGCCAAGTCCCCGGGGAGCAGTAAGTACCCAAGGGAAGCGGGTGCCCAAGGAAAAGCCCTGGGGTGGCATGGCGCGGGCTTCCGGGTGGGGGGGCACCAGGGCGGGGGCAGAGGGGGGCCCGTTGCTGAGACCTGTGGTCCCTCACAGATGCTCAGAGGTGGCCATCCCTGGGTAGTGCCTCACAGACACGGGGATGTCCCGCTGGGCACACTCCTCACGCTTCCCACCTCTGACCCCCGTGCTGTCTCCCTCAGGCTGGACCACCAGACCTTCCTCCAGGGCGTGGTCGTCCTGGAGGAGTTCTGCAAGGAGCTGGCTGCCATTGCTTTCGTCAAGTTCCCCCCACATGATCCTCACCTGCACCTCTCCAAACCCCCGGAAGGGCATGTCTGAGTCAAGAGGAGAGGCTCCCGTGCACGCCTCTGCCCAGGAGCTGCCCCTGCCTGGCACTGGTGCCGCCACGGCTCCTGGAGCAGGAGGTCCAGGGGCTGCCTTGGCTGTGTCTCTTTATATCCCAGGGGCTTCTACCTGTGGGGGTCTGGCCTTCCGCTCTTGGGTTGACTCAAGACCACCTTGGCCTGTTGACTGCACCAGACTGGATTTCAAGGAGTGGGTCTCAGGCACCAGAACCAAGGAGCCAAGGAGGTGGCTTCCTGGGCAGCACGGTGTCCTTGGGGCCCTCTCTGGGGAGCTGGGTGACAGCCAGGTGAGCCCCCAGACCCAGAGCATTTCTCTGCCTGTCAGCTGTGTCCACGGGTCTTCTGTGGCCGGAGCCAAGACCTGAGACTCGGTGGGGAGTGAGTCAGTGGCTCTGAGGCTGGTCAGGCCCCTGGGCCAGAGAGATGGGGGCACGGCCCTGCCTCTGTCCCACTCAGCACCACAGATGCCACTAACACTTAATGAGTTTTCTCCCGCCTTCTCGGTTTAACCCTTGGGTAAGGGGCCATGGATGGCAGGGCAAGCCCCTCTTCCAGCTCGCCCTCCTAGAGACTGTTGCAAAATTCCAAACAGCCTCGTGGCAAATGCCCAAAGCACGTCCCGCGCCCAGGCGGGGGCAGCTGCTAATGAGAAGCTTGATGCAACTGCAGCCAGGGCAGGAGAGGGCCTGGGGAGCTGGGGGGCTGGATGCCAGGCTCCGGCTCCAGCTGGTTTCTCGCTGGCGCCTTCTGAACCCGTCTCGGCAGGTCCACAGCACCTGGGCAGAGGGGCTCAGAGACCCAGGGAGGCCAGGCCTCACCCCGAGCACTCGGCTGGGGTTCTCCACAGAATACTGTTCCCAGCAGAGCCAGAAGGTCCGGGTCCAGGTGAGGCCAGGGTGCCCACCGGACCACAGCCCCTCCCCTCCCCCCCGCCCTGACCCCAAGGCCTGGCAGGGTGGGGCTGGGGCACAGGCAGTCCTTTGCGGTGCTGTTCTCCCAGCGTGCCCTCTGCGGCTGGGGCTGCCACCCCACCCGGCCCAAATCTGTCTCGACCTGCAGGAACACACAGGCGGCGCCAGGCATTACCTCACAGCAAACTGCAGTTGCTGGCTTGACTCCTGGGCAAGGAGGAGCAGGCCAGAGCCCCTTTCGCTTCCTTTTCCTGCCCATGCCGCTTCTAGAAGCCGGCCACAGGTTGCCAGGAGGTGACATGAAAGCGGAGGAAACTCAGTGACCTCTACCTCTCCTGCATTCCTCCAAGCTGGGGAGGATTTAACCGCTGTTCCTGAGGGCACCGTGCAAATCCCTGCATGTGTGTGTGCCCACGCATGGGTGTCAGCGTGGGACGAGGGGGTGAACTGGGTCTGGACTCTTCGATTCAGAAAGAACGTTTGAGCATCTGGGAGTCAGACCCTCCCCTCCTCGATGCACTCGGGCATTCGCACGGCGTCTCCCCAGACAGTATGGCAATAAATGGTGTGGTTGCGTGGTCACAGCTGCCCCATTCTTCTCTGCCTCCCCGTGTCCTTCTGCCCAGGGCTCCACTGCTCATTCAGGCACATCTTCCTCCTAAAGAAGTCGAATTTAAGTCCTCTCCCAGCACAGGAGCAGAGGCGGGGGCAGTGGGTGTGTGGTGGGGGCGGGTGGTAAACAGGGATGGGCTCTGGCGGCGCAAATGTGATGCTCCCCCAGCGCCTGCCAGGAACCAGGAAATCAGCCTCTTGGGCAGGGAGCTCTATTTCTGCTCGGCCTGCCTACAGCTGAGAGCCACAGCTCCAGAGATACTCTAGGGAATGGGCCACCTGGGGCATCCGTGCACAAGTCTCCTTTGCAGGGTTTGTGTTGCGAAAGGTATGACTGCTTTAGTGGTGAACAGTGGGCCTGAGTTTTATTTTCTGCAGCACTGTGCGGTGTGTGGGGTCTAGTTTCCTGACCAGGGATGCAACCCATGCCCCCTGCATCGGGAGTGTGGACTGCCAGGGAAGTCCTGGGCCTCACACTTAAAAGAATCTAGTCCCTGAGTGTGAAGAGATCCTCTGGGGAGGAGGGTCACCAAGAGTCCTCCAGGGAAGGCAAGAGGGAGGGCTGATCAGTGGCTTTCACCTCCTGGCATGTTCCAGTCACGTGGGTTGCTTTTAAAAATACCGATGCCCCGGTCCCACCCTCCACCAGTTAATCAGATCTCTGACGGCGCACCCACAGTTGTTCTTTTAAGGCTCTCCAGGTGATTCTAGTGGGCACCCAGGGTTTAAAGTGCAAGAGTTAGGTGCTTAGTCGTGTCTGACTCTGACTCCATGGACTGTAGCCTGCCAGGCTCCTCTGTCCATGGGATTCTCTGGGCAAGAATACCGGAGTGGGTTGCCATTCCCTTCTCCAAGAGATCTTCCCGACCCAGGGATCAAATCCAGGTTTTCTGCATTGCTGGTGGATTCTTTACTGTCTGAGGCACCAGGGAAGGGTTGAAACCTACTATTAATAATAGGCTAAATAATGGAAGTAAAGGTCACTGTCCAGTGTGCTTACAGAGCAGTGGGTCCCTCAGACACTAAGAGAAGGGATCCAAAATAAAAGGGTTTGACTCCTTTATCTGGAAGATAGTCTTCAGAGGGAACAAGAGGATTCCTAGCACAGCTCCAGAGGTCAGGAAAACAAGATTGTGGCCCAGAGAGGCAGGGCAGGGGCCTCTAGGTTTTCCTGGTCCTCGGGCATCAGAGTGGAGTTACATCAGAAGGGAAACCCAGCCAAGTATCTTCCCTGCTCAGAACCAAAACTGTACATCAGTGATGCGTGTATAGCAGTCAGTACATATTTCTTCATTTCCTTTGGTTTTCCCTTAAACTTCAGTAAAGTTCTTTTTTAAAAAAATAATTCCTACCATGATTCAGCTGAGCTAAGGGGAATGAAGAGAGGGTTTTGGTCTGGCTTTGGGCTGGAGTTGTACCAGGGCAGAGGAAGGAATGAGCCTGGGGGCGGAGCGATGCTGATCCCTCAGAGAAGCTCAGAGAAAAGAGAGGGGCAGCTCTCACAGCTCCTCGCCCACCTGAAGCTTCTGGGAGTCTCGCTGCTCAGACCTTGGAGGGGGTGTGCCCACATCCCACCCTGAGGAGGCCTGAGCCAAGCTGTGGTGGACAAAGGAAGCCTGCCAGCCGGTCACCTGCTGTCTGGGAAGGCCTGCGTGGTTTCCGTGGGATGAGTGGAGGAGCTTCTCTTGGTAGCAGCTCCCCTTCCAGCTCAAGTCCGACCCACAGAAACACTTAGGTGGGAATGCAAAGTCGGGAATGCAAAGTCACACCTATTTACTCAGCCAGGGACTCCACTCCCTTGGAATGACGTCCCCCACAGCTGTTCCCTGTTCTAAGTGCCTAGCATCTGGCAAGGGCACAGAAAATGAGGAGGAGATGCCACCTCAGGTTCCAAAGGTCCTCACGTCCCCTTAGGGAGTCCTGCCCTCATCGTAACTTCAGGGCAACTGGGTCCCCGAGCTCTGGACTCCTTGTTCAGTTCAAGGCATTGTCCCTTTGGGTGCTGTGCACGGACCTGGTGACAAGAGAGGGCGCAGTCCCCCTGGGAACCAGGAGAACTGCCCAGGTCCCCATGCAAGAAGATCTCTGACGGCCACACCCCTGCCCCGCTCCGGCCCACTGACAGCCACCTCCTATCTGTTGATTGGGACGACAGACGAGTCCCGAAGCCGCTGTAAAAGCTGGTTTTGCAGGTCTTCCTCCACCACCTTCCACCAAAAGAAGTTCTCACCCCGAACCTTTGGGGGCTCGTTTTGAAGGCCCGGATTCCGAAAAGCCACAGTGACCAGCACGTTCATGCAGATGCCATCCATTAGGTCTTTGCCCAGGTGTTGCAGTCCAAGCAACCCCTTGGTCTCTACCGCCAAGTGGTGCAGGGTCAGACACTCCTGCAGCAGCCGCAAGACGGCCATCTTGATGCCGCCCCTCTGCTCCATGGGAGCGAAGCCACAGGCAGTGACGGGCAAGTGAGGCGTCCCCACTGTGCCCGCCAACACCCACACTGTCTGGGCGCTGGTGAAGATGGCCACGAGCCGCTGGCAGACTAGACTGCAGGGAAGCTCTTGGGGAAGGAGGAGAGGGTGCCTGGCTTGCTGGCGATACTGGGCAGCAAGATCGACCAGATGAAGAATGTCCTGGGCCCGCAGTGGGGTAGGCAGTGAGGTTCGTGGGTACCAGCCAGCCTGTAGGGACTCTGCATCTGCTTCCTTGGGAGTCTTGAGAATTCCACCTGGGGAAGATGCAGGGGATGTGCTCAGTTGTGTCTTAACTCTGCAACACCACTGACTCTAGCCCACCAGGCTCCTCTGTCCATGGGATTTCCCAAACAAGAATACTGGAGTGGGTTGCCATTACCTTCTCCAGGGGACAGGAAGGGAGAAAAGGTCTATGTTGAATAAAGTGCTGGGCCTGGTAGAATAAAGGGCCACCCAGGGTTCTGGCTGTGACCCAGGGGAGGCCTGGGGTCAGGTGTTCAGTCTGGAATCTGGAGATGCCAGGGTTATACTAGCTAGAACAGGGGTTCATCTCACCCAGGGGCTCATCTCACCTGAGGACCAGCTGGGGGACAGGTGTCTACTGCCCTCAGCCCACACTGCCACCTGCTGGGCCATACCTGTGGGGCAGGTGAGGAACACAAAGCGGATCCAGGAGGGGCCCCGTTCCTCCACAGACAGCAATGTCAGAGGCTCACACTGCAGCCCGGCCTCCTCCTTCACCTCCCGCTGTAGCGCCTCCACAATGGTCTCCCCAGGCTCCATCCGCCCCGCAGGAAGGTACCACGACCCACGGCACTCCTTCTTGGCCTCCTGGACCAGTAGCACCTCATCCTGAGGGGGAGAGAGAGGGTCCTCGCCCACCACAGCCAGGATGGGAGCTCCAGGGGGGCAGCAGAGCCAGCAGCCTTCACTTGCTCTGGGTCCAGCTCCAATCTCAGATATAGTCGCTCAAAACCCACATCCCAGGGGCCACCCTGAAATTGCTGAGCTCTCCAGAGGACTGGCCCTGGATCTGGGGACTGCAGCGGTCTCTACAGTTCATCTTTCTCTGCATTCAGGTTTCCATTTCAGAAAGGGGGTAAGACTCCTGGGAGCTGCTTCAGGGGCTGGAGATTAGGCCTCCAGGGAGGGTTGCCATGCATCCTGCACTGATTCGTGTCTGCACAAGCCACAACATATCTCTCACCTCCCCTCATGGTTTATAAACTCCTTGTGGCCTGTCTAGGCTTTGAAACACATCCCAAACCCTCACCCCAAACAACTCCTACCTATGGCTCTCACCCTTCTATCTGTTGTTACCGCACTGTGTACAGGGATCGACACCAAACAGAGCATCAGACAGGGGCTCAGAGGCCTGGGTGTTCGCAAAAGTTGTGCACTCACTGCCCATGAGGCCCAGGGGAGGCCTCTGAAGCACTGAACAGGTTTTTAAGCCCACTCCGTGGCGAGGACCGCGCTAGCTTCTGGGGAGAATGGAAGAGGAGTAAGGCAGCGTCCCCTCAAGGAACTGAGGCCTGGTGGGATGAAACAGGCCTGTGAACCTCCGTTTCCTCCCTCGTACGTTGGGAGGATCGCAGGGCGGCACTGCGCAAGTCTCAGATCTAAGTGTGAAAGTGCTTTGCAAAACTGGGAAGAGCCACACACCAGCAGGCTGCGGCTGTTGCCGGTACGTCCTCTGTTCCCTAGCGGGGCTGGCTGCGAGCCCCGGAGACCTGGGCGGTGGGCCCGCCGGGCGGACGCTCACCTGCTCGTTGAGGAACACCGCCAGCACCACGTAGCAGACATTCTTCCGCAGCCGCACCGGCGCCGGCGGCTCCCCAGCCGGCCCCGAATCATAGTTCTGCACGAGCAGCCCCCGGCCCCCCAGCACGGCCGTCAGCGCCCCTCTCAGGCCGTCCGAAGCCATAAGGTCCCCCGAGAGGCGGCGGGCCGGGAACCGCAGGTCGGCCGAGCCGGGTGGGATGGACGTGGGTGACGGTGGGGCCCCCTCCCGCGAGGACTCGGGTCGGGTGCACTGGCGAACACGGAAGCGCCCGGGTGTTCTGGACGCTGATAGGCTGCGCGTCACGACGGCCGGCTCGGATTGGCTGGCGCGCAAAGGTCACGGCGGGGGCGGAGCCAGTCCGTAAGGGGGCTGACGCCCTGACGGTGCGGACGCCACACCGCATCTGCAGTTGCATCTGTTTCTCCTCTTTCCCGGCAACTCAGGCCGCCAGCATTGCTTAATCCCTCGAGCGCGCACTTGTCTGCCCGGGCTCCGACGGTGACGTCACTTGCCCGCAGGCTGCGGAGCGGCGCGGCAGCCAGCGACGGTGACATCACAAACCCGATGACGTCACCGGGCTAGCGGCGTGGACCCAGTGTCCAGCACTTGTAAACAAACCGCGGCATTGCCCTAAATGACACTTCCCAAATAACCTTATTTCTCTACTGAGAGTGTACTGGCTGTCACGTGGCAGGGAGGACAAGAGCTCCTGCCTTGGAGGAGATTCTGATCTAGTTGGAAAGGTGGAAATAGACAAATAATGGAAAGCCAGCTGACTTTTATGGCGAGTGCTACACGATTGGTTAAAAAAATTGGTTCGGGCAGGAGATGCTGCAGGCGCTCAGAGGAGGGAGATTGCAGAGCTGGGATGGGCAAGGTGTGCCTGGCCATAGGAGGCAGAACTTGGGGCAGAGATCAGTGTGTGTAGCCGTCATCAACCTTGTCCCGGACCCCGGTCCGCCGCACTTCCCACGCAGGGTCAGGGCCTCTCCCCTTCAGGGGATGGTACTACTCCTTCAACTTTGTTGTTACCGCCCCGCCCCCACCCCCACCCCCACTACCACTTTGGTGGGGCTCTGCTCTATTGAGAGCCGGGTGTGGGTTGATTTCAGGAGCTCCTTCTTCTCCCCCAGCCTGACCTTTCCTCCTTCCTTTAACCTCTTCTCAGGACAGGAAGGCAAAATAGAAACCAGAGGAATCTGAGCTTCTCAGTCCCAGTGAGGGCTCCCTTTTCCCTCCTCCTGGCTTTGGTCATGTCCCTTTTGAGGGGACAGTAACTTGGTGGAGCTAAGCATTGGACTTGGATCTGGATGCCCAGCCATTGCTCCCTGGCTCATTCTGTGCCCTAATAGAGTCAAGGGCTTGTTTGGGGGTCTGTTTTGTGGGCCTGTTTCCTTATCTTTCTTGTTGTCATTCAGTTGCTAAGTCATGTCCAACTCTTTGTGAGACACGGACTGCAGCACGCCAGGCTTCCCTGTCCTTCACCATCTCCCAGTGTTCACTCAAACTCATGTCCATTGAGTCGGTGATGCCATCCAACCATCTCATCCTGTCGTCCCCTCCTTCTGCCCTCAATCTTTCCTAGAATCAGGGTCTTTTCTAGTGAGTTGTCTCTTCACATCGAGTGGCCAAAGTATTGGAGCTTCAGCTTCAGCATCAGTCCTTCCAATAAATGTTCAGGGTTGATTTTCTTTAGGATTGACTGGTTTGATCTCCTTGCTGTCCAAGGAACTTTCAGAAGTCCCCCAACACCACAGTTTGAAAGCATCAGTTCTTTGACATTCAGCTTTCTTTATGGTCTAACTCTCACATCCATATATGACTACTGGAAAAACCATAGACTACTGGTGGACCTTTGTTGGCAAAGTGATGTCTCTGCTTTTTTCTACAATAACCTGCTAACAGCTCTTCCTTCCCAGGACTGCTGGGAAGGTGAGCCATCATGAGAGGAACTCTGGACTGTCCAGCGTGGGTCACCACCATCAAGCAGCCCAGCAACGCTCCAGGCAGGGGTCTCCTGGCTACCGCATTTGTGGTGACCAAACAAAGGCTCACTTTTTTGAAATGTGCTTACAGGGCCACCATGAATAGACCTTAGTCTAGGGAATTCCAGACACACCAGGTAAGCCTCCTTAGGCCCTTTTCAAATACTAAACTGACTGCAAGGTCCCTGGAGGCAGGGCACTGGGTTAAGCTGTGGGTTATCACTGGGGGAGTCGCAATCTTGTGAGGCACTTGTGAACGCTGCTGCCCCCACCCCATCCAAGACCTCGAACGTTCCAAACAGCTGAATTCACAGGGCCAAAATCAGGCCCCCAGGACTGCAAAGCGACTTTTCCACGTATTTGCCAGGAACACATGCATGTATGTATGTGTGTTTAGACCTTTATTTTCACATCTGTGAAATGGGGACAGCATTCATCCCAGACTCCCTTCTGCCTCCCAGGGATGATTTGAGAGAGAGTGAGATCATGTCTGGGCAGGGCTCTGAAAGCCTCAGAGGCGGCCTAAGATAAACACCAGACAGCCTAACTGCCTGGAAGAGCAAAGGCTGTGGCAAACCGCGGCTCCACTCTCCCCATTATCACTGGGCAAAGCGTTCCTCGCCAGTTGAATGGACCTAATCACCCCTGTGATGGGAAGCACATAAGAGAAGCTTGAAAACCAGTTGTAAACAGTGAAGGGCCCCATGGGTGGAAGGCCCTAGAGGGGGTTGTACTGTGCCGTGCTAAGCCTCTTTAGTCATGTCTGACCCTTTTTGCGACCCCGTGGACTGTAGCCCGCCAGGCTCCTCTGTCCATGGGATTCTCCAGGTAAGAACACTGGAGTGGGTTGCCATGCCCTCCAGCAGGGGATCTTCCTGACCCAGGGATAGAACCTGCCTCTCTTATGTCTCCTGCATTGGCCGGAGGGTTCTTTACCAGGCCTTTACAGATGCTGAGAAGGACAACAGAAAGTGACTGTCTCCAAGTGTCAGAGGACACACACCAGATGGAGACAGGAGACAGGAGAGGCCCCAAGGCAGAACTGGAAAAGCTGAGGGAGGGAGAGGGGCTGAGATAGAAACTTCTAGAACCTGAAACCAAGGTAGGGCTCCATCAAGTATGCTCTGCATCCTCCATTCCCACAGAGGCTAGAGCACTGGCTTGTGTGGGTGGCCAATGCAGCCCAGTGGACAGAAGTGGCTGAACTGGTTGGCCCTGTGGTGCAGCACTTCCAGCGCCCACAGGAGCCAGGCTTGGGCCAGCCATTTCAGGGCCTGTGGACACGCATGTGCATGTGAGCACATGTGCAGAAAGACAGTGCAGGCAACCTCAGAATTGGGCCAGGCAAGCAAGGTGGGGTAAGGGTGTCTGTGAAGCTAGAGTTCTTTTAAGGAGCAGCAGCCCTGGCCCTGGACAAAGCAGGAAGGGTGAGGAGGGCAGCAGGCCAGGTTACTGGGAGGAGGAGGCCCGACTTCAACCTGTGCCCTGCCACTAGCTTCCCGAGTGACCTCAAGGGAGCCACATCCATCCTCCAGGCCACCTGTAGGGAAGATGGGTGGATCCTCAAACAGAAAATTAGTGAAAGCCCAATAAAGTCTGTTGCTTAGTTAATAGAGTTGTATCAATATCAACTTGTTACATTCTGATCACTGTACCCTGGCTATATGGGCTTCCCAGGTGGCGCTAGTGGTAAAGAACCCACCTGCCAGTGTAGGAGGTGTTAAGGGACAAAGGTTCGATCCCTGGGTCAGGAAGATACCCTGGAGGAGGACATGGCAACCCACTCCAGTATTGTGCCTGGAGAGAGGAGGCTGGCGGGCTACCATTCGTAGGGTTGCAAAGAGGTGGACACGACTGAAGCAATTTAGTACCACCACCACCATGATTATTTAAGATGTTACCATGAGAGGAAGTTAATGAAGGCTAACTGGGAACTTTCTGTAGTATCTCTGTGACTCAACTGGAAAACTCAAATATTTCCAAAATTAAAAATCTAAAAGAAAAAAAAAAAGAAGAGACTTATCACCTTCACTGCCTAGGGCTTGGCTTCAGTCCTTATTGGGGATCTAAGATCCCACAAGCCACAGAATACACCCCCTCCCCCAAAAGAAAAGCCTAAAAAATGAATCTTATAAGAAAAAAGAGAAAGGCGGAGTTGGATATCTACATTCTGGCATCACTTCCAGCTCTGAGGTTGTGAAATCTGGGCCAGTGAGCAGGACTAGAACAGGTAGACCATGGGATGCGGGGAGAAACAAAAGCCCAAAGGACAGGGCTGGACTGGGGGTAGCCCACTGAGCCCCCTTAAGGAAGAGGGCCACTGAGGGCCCCAAGTTGTTTCAGGGTCAGTCCCCACCTGAACTGGCTTCATTCCCAGGTGAGTCCTGGAACATTTGGTCCACCTGCTGTTCATTAGGAGCCCGACCCAATATGCCCTCAAGGATGCTACAACCCGCCACGAAAAGGGAGGTGGAAGAGAGGTTTGGAGGGGGGAGAGGCCCCGTCACAAGGCCATCCCTGTCTTCCCACAGGAAGGACCCCATGTAGGGGGTTCTGGGGTGACATCAGGTCACGGCATTACAAGGTGAGATACAGGTAAGGACAGCTCACTCTGTGCCACTTGGAACATGATCAGCTGTGAAGTGCCTGTCTGTACCGGAAGGAAGAGCACAGAGGAGACGGCAGCAAGGCCATCTGCAAAGTCCATTAAGCGTGAAGACTGTAATACAAATGAGGTGGCTCGAGTCAGGATACTTGGCTCCGGTCTCAATGCTGCCACTAAAATTGCTGTGTGACCTTGGGTGATGCTATATGACCTTGGGTGTGACTTAACCCTGGCCTGCCTGTTTCCTCTTCTCTAAAATATAATTAAATAATATTGACCCCAAAGTTATGATAAAGGGATTCAATGAGATCAGTTAAAACACTGACACATCAAAGGCAGTAGTTGAAAATAGCCTAGCTTTGCATACAAGGAAGAAATCTAATTTTTAAAAAAAATGGGCTATGTTTATGTAAATCACTGCCAAGCCTAAGACAATATAAGAGACCATTTAAAATACATTGGCTTCTCTGGTGGCTCAGATGGTAAAGAATCTGGAAGGAATGCAGGAGACTGGGGTTCGATCCCTGGGTCAGAAAGATCTGCTGGAGAAGGGAGTGGCAACTCACTCCAGTATTCTTGCCTGGAGAATCCTATGGACAGAGGAGTCTGTGGGCTACAGTCCACAGGGTCACAAAGAGTCAGACACGACTGAGCGACTAACACTTTCTTAAAATAACGTTTAGAGAGCAACTCAGAAAATGATGATCAGTG